GCAAGGACGATTTTTCTCTATGGGTGTTATATAAAAATAACAAAAGTGAATTGCAGTTACACGATCGCTGTGAAACCTTGGGAATATGTTAGGAATATTCCTTGGAAGGTTTCTGTGGAAAAAACATTTTTAATTTTGCCCGGCAGGGCGCGATTGTTTTCTCTCTATATACGGTATATAAAAATAAAAGACGATTGCGGTTCGACACAGTTTATCTGGGTGCCATAAAACTTTAGGGAGTTGATGAATATTCCCGAGAAGGTTTCTGGGGTGGGAGAGCGGTGTGGTGGTGGGAGAGGGAATTTAATTTTGCATGTGCGGCCTCCAGTAGATTGCGATTTGGCGCCCTGGTCTTTCCCGTGAACGCTATGGCGACTACGTTCGGCCTAAATAGTGTGATAGGATGGGGCGTTACAAACACTCACTAAATTGAATTAGGCGAGTCTGCCGGCTCCCTGGTAGGGTGTGATTTGGCTGCAAACAGTTTCGGCCCCCTAAGGCTCACATGGGCCGCTGAGTGCCATGTAATATGTTTTATTTTAATAATCTAACCAAGGTTAGATTATTAACTGTGATGTTTCTTTTTGTCCGCAAAAAAATCCAAACAGTTTCGTCACTTTGAGAATGATGCAATTAGCATCTATTTTTGACAATCCAATCTGAAGTTGAGATCGAGCATCTAATAATAGACCATTACTAACGCTAACATATTGCATCAGTCACACTGATGTTTAAAACACGTCAAATAATTTTTTACGTGTTAAAGAAAGAATCCTGTTCATTTGTGTCACTTTAGCGAATGACAAAATCTGCATCATTGTTAACAGGATGATATTTGGCACTTTTGGTTATCCTATGAACACGATGGCGCCTGTTAGTTTTAAGGAGCCAGGGGCTGTATGCGGTAGTGTAATCAGTGGGGGGTGCTCCTGAGAGCACCTCTCTATGTCCCTGATACATGGGCGGTCACCGAAGTGTGTTCTAGGTCTTTATTTTGGTGAGTAATAAATGTACACTCAAGGTTTTCCTGCGGTAGTGTAGGTAAACCGTGTCCTGATATTTATGATCCAAGCGCAGGCATTGTTTACATTTAAATAACTCACTTTAAGAAAACAAGGTCACGCATCTAAGAATATAGGATTGGTAATGCATGGATTAAACGCTTTTATATATTTAGTCGGACTTTCGTCTATTCCCGCGGCAACGCGCGGGGGACGGGTACGCTAATATATAAAAAAGCAAAAACTATTTGGTTTTCACGTGTAATGGTGACATAAACAATGGCATCCTGCTATTCAATTGGCCGCCATAAATTTTATTGTACACATTGTAAGCTAAAATAGAAAAACTAGGTCAGGGGTTTAAATTTGCATTGTTATTTAAAAACTTGATCTGCAAAGTTTTGTAAACAAATAGTTATCGATCACTAAGTTACTGTAAAGCCAATCAATATTTGTCTTACGAAAGTGAAACATCCGGTTATAACTTAGGCTTGATGAAAATAAATAGAAATGTAGCCTTAAACTCAACAAATTATTTTCAAGTTCTCTGGATTTGCAACTTTTATAGCATTTATTCTAAAAATATAAAATTTCTAAATTAATTTTAGGCTAAAGTTTTTTTTTTTTTTTTTTACGGTCTAAATCTAAAAAAGCACATTTTTATTCCATGTCAACAACATTATGGAAGGAATCTCGTCAACTCCCTGGTGTCCATTAGCATGTTAGTCTTGATCTTATTGTGTTTTTCTCCCTATATGTTATTTAAGGCATAATTTAAACCTACACTTCAGTTGCAACTTCAGGGTCCATAGGCCTTCTAACTATTAGATATAGATCTAAGTCTTAGAATCTTAAATTTAGAGTTATAAGTTAGTAGTTATTAGACTTATTGGAAATTAGATTATGAAGCTAGATATAGTCTATTTGAGTTGTACCATACCAGAAGGTGTGACACCTGCCTTACCTATCTGCTAAATAAACATATTTAAATATATTGGTTATTTAAACATACTGGTCATCAGTTGCCACTAAACTCATTTACTTTAAGTTTATTGGAATAATTATAGTTAGAGATTCAGGGGAAACCACTCTAATTTACAGATGGCCAATGTTTATATAGCAAATCTTGGTTGCAAACACTGCTGTTTAAAGTTAATTTCTGTCCTATATTGATATATTTAGCTATTGTTTTTTTTTTGTTTATTTTTCAGCTATCTATTATATTTGACACAAATATATCAGAATATACTTGTATTAAAGCCTTAACAATGAGGCAACTTCTTCGCACATTACTAGCATCAGCCGATTTTACGCACCTAAGACGATAGATTACCTAAAATTGTACCCTAAAAATTGTTACAAATAATAATGATCAATTGAAATTAATGATCATGTCTTTTTCTTGTCATTCTCAGTTCGTTGCTTTGTTAATGAATATTTTCATTACACCTCCTCCTCTCTCTCCCCCCCCCCCCCCCCCCCCCACCATTTAGTGGACCTCTCAAAACTATCCACATATTAACTATTTCAATAACATGTATTGTATACCTAGTTACTGATATATGTCTTAAATATGTTTGTAAATGTTTTATATTAAGTCTAAATTTCCATCGTACTTGAATCCGGGCAATTAATATCCAAGTTTCTAGTGCTTCTGCTTCACTGACAGCTGATCTTTTCCACGTTTGTTTTGGCCTATCTACTTTCCTCTTTCCTTGGGAATTCCAATCTAGTACCTGTCTAGTGATGTTGCTAGTTGGTTTTCACAGGGTGTGTCCAATCCATCCCCATTTGTGCTTTTGTATTTCTTTGCCAATTGCATCATGTTAAGTATGTGGAGGCATCTGTTAATGAAAGTCATAAGTTTGCATTACTCGTCACGTCTCAGAACCATAGAGAACAGATTTCACATTGCTGTAATAAAGTCCTATTTGGAAAGATTAGACAGTGCTGTCGATGTCCATGTGGTGCGGAAGATGTTGAATGTGTACTTGACCTTGTTAATACAGCTTTTGATGTCCTCATTTGTTCCCCCATCCTTGTTTACTACACTTCCAAGATACGTGAAGAGATCCACCTCAGAAATAGTCATCTCTTGCATCCTGAGTGGGAGTTCCTGTTTATTGTTAATTCCCGTCATCACTGTTTCCAGTTGATCTTTAAACCTGTCCTGAGTGTTTCTTCACTGAGTTTGCATAGCTTGGACTGGGCATACTGTTGTTGATGTGAGAGGAGGCTGATGTCATGTGCAAAATCTAGGTCCACCAGCTATTAAATTTGTTATTTATTACAACTGTAGAAACTTCTTTTATGCAAGATGTTAGCTATGTTAAATTATTAATTAGTACAATAGTGGCAAAAGACAGCTTTAATAGCAATAAAACAATTAGTCTGGACTTTTTTTTAAATCTTTTTTTTTCTTTGCTGGACCTAGTAAACCATTAACATGAGCTTAACATAAATGCTGCTATACAATACAGATTTTTACTTTCTCGTATATACGAAGTATAAAGAAAGTATTGTAAGTGTAATCGTGCACAAAAATAACATGAAATTTTGACAGTTTTCGCCGTTTTACTCCTCAGTCCTTCATCACATCCGGAGTTTAGAGGACTTATTTTAATCGGGCAAAAATTATCAATCCAGATTTATCAAAATTAAGAGGTTTTATGCGTAATCCAGTCTGAAAAACTGGGCTTTGCAATTCTGTCAGTTTCCTGTGTGTCTGTCTGTTAAATTTTGAGTAATTTCCGTTGACCGGAAGTAGTAATTTACGCTGCTTCCGATTTCTCAAAAAACTAATGTAAATTTTTAAAGTACTAATATTATTGCGCACTATTATGCACTTTTTATTTGGCGTTCACTTGGTGTGCACTTCTTTTGTCTACAACATTTTATACTATTTTTAAAACTTTAAGTATTTAAAATTGATTAAAAATCATGTCTATAGCCCGAGTTCCCATCCCCTGTTGTTTTATATAAGAATATTCGAGAAAGTTTAGGGGAGATCACTCCCAGTTTATTTAATTTTAATTGCCCTGAAATGTATAAAAAAAACTCCTGGAAATCGTTTTAATTTTGGTGCATGAGCTTGCATCTTTTTTTATCTTGTATAGTCAAAGTAAAAATCTGCTTTCTGATAAAATAGTATACTAGCAAATTGGAACAAAGGTCCAATTAATTTTTGATAAATTTATATTTTAATCTTTAGAATGGTTTCCCATTTTTAAAAATATTTTATAGAGCTCTTATAAGATCTCATATTTTACATTTAAAAAATTTCTGCTCCTAAGAAAGCTAGAAATATAAATTTGGTATCAGTGGAAACTTTTTCTTTCTTCTGCTACTACCTTATCCACAGTCTAGTTTTAACTTTTTAGGTTTTATTAGAAATGTATTTATAATTACCAGTAAGCTGCTAGTATTTTGTAGCTCTCTTTATTAACACCTACCTAAGACAAGCAGTCCTTGTCTCATCTTCGGTTCTCCTCCAGTATTTCCTTGGCCAATCCCTGTCAGAACCCGACATTTTAGCTTGTCTTTTACTGCAGCTGATGTGTACATGTGTATATTGAATTGATACATGTTCTATTACTTCCCTTTTGATAAAGAAATGTACTTTTCCTTTACTTTACTGGTCTTTATGATGAAACTATTCAAACCATCATAGTTTTGCAACATGCTCCCATTAAGTGCTCAGCCTTGTTTTAATTTATGTCTTATCTCTCATTTATTGTAATTTTCATTTCTATCTAAACTCTTGTTGATCAAAATCAGATTTTTCTTTTTTGAACTCAAGTTTAGCACTTTTAGTGTTATAATCATAAGCTAGTGCAACTGTATTAGTGATATTTCAACTCTTTTAGAATTATAATGGGGTTGGCGAGTTCGAACCCTCTGGCAGATGAGGCTCGTTAGCTTTGGACAGCCACTCTTCTAGGAGAGACAACTCAAAAATCAAACAACTGATGCCTTGTAGTTTGTTCTTGGTTGGACAAAGGCTATGGAAGCAAATCCAAAAAGAAAAGCAGACTGAAATCGGAGTCAATGTCCTCTATGGCGCATAACCAGTTGACACATATCCTTAATTGAGATGGATGTGTAGTCGAGTCGACAAAAAGCTCATGGTTGATAAATCGAAAAAAGTCTCGTATTCAAACCCTCTGGCAGATAAGGCTCGTTCCCTACCAACATTAAAAATTAAGAACAAAGAAGAAGAAAGAAGGGTGTCCCATCAGGTATAAAAATTTAATATATATTATTAATTATAAATAATTAAACAGTCATAAGTAGAATCTTTATAGAATTTTATAACAATGATAATAGGCAGGCCAAATTTGCCAAATGAATATATTTAAGAATAAATGTCATAAACATGGTCATTAAATATTATAGTAGCTTTGCGCTTAAATCACCAACAACCATCCTCACAATTGAGCTGCCTGTTCAATTGTAAAGAGGGAGAAAAAAAATTCCACACAAAAAAATAGCTCTTCTTTCTTTTTAACTAATCTTGAGCAATGTTTTCTGTAATAGAATGGCAGATAATTCATTTATTTTTAGTCTTGCATTCAAATTACCTTAAAAAACTTGATCTTCGCTAAGACCTGAGCCTGATGTTTCAAGCTAGAGGTCTCTTTCAGATTTGCGTTCAGAAGACAGACTATTATTTAGACTTATTTCCCTTCTTTGATTATATCATAATCTATTGTTTAGGTATGTAAATTAACATAAAATTTGGCCTAAGCTCTAGATTCTTTTGTTATTAAAATAGTAAGTATGTAGTAAGTTTTGAAGGGGGATTATTAAATTTTTCTGGATGTCCACATGGGTGGGGAAGGGAGGGGGGCTAGAATAAAAATAATTTGTGGACATCTTATGGCACCTTTTTGGTTTGTTTTGAGACCTTAAAGTTTTAGTAATTACTTAAAAATAAATTAGGCCTCTTTATCTGGTTTGTGTGTTAATATTGTACAATGTTAGTGATAAAAAGAGAATTTCTTTAATTAAAGAGACAAATTTGATTCTGGTTTAACTTTTCAGCCACAAAAACTTGTTATTCAAAAACTTGTTGCCAAAACAATTATTATTTCTGCATAATCTGTTCACTTTGTAAATTTCTATGTTTTCCTACAAAGCATTTTGGGGACAGCGTGACTCTAGAGGTAGAGCACTTGACTGCTAACCTGAAAGTCTCGAGTTCGAATCCTGGTTCAAGGAAGTAAAATGTTCCTAAGTCCACCCAGCTCTGATGAGTACATTACTCACATTAGGGAAAGTAAGGCTTCATATGCAGAGTCCACAGAAACAGGTGAACCTGAAAGATCATCAGGTTGAAAAAAGAACTTCACTTTTACAAAGGATTTTTCAATTGATTCTATTCTTCATTTACTAATATTTTTTATTTTAAGGTTGAAAACATTTTAAAGCCCTTAGATCTAACAGATGATCACTACAGAAAGGTTATGTTGTTGATGCATAATGATATTGAAAAAGGACTTTCGCCAGCTACACATGAAAAAGCAAATATAAAATGTTTTCCAACATATGTTAGAGCTGTTCCTGATGGAACTGGTAAATATGATTCATTATCTAAAATGTCTGTTTAATTATTTATTTATTTTTAAATTGTTTCTCATAAGTTGTAGCTGTTTGTTTTTTTTAAACAAAGTTAGCAATACTGAACAATTTTTGTTTTTTGCAGAATCCGGAGACTTCCTAGCTCTAGACTTGGGTGGAACTAATTTTAGGGTTCTTTTGATCAATTTAAATGGTCAAGAAGTAAAAATGGAAAGCAAAATTTTCATTATTCCGCAGCATATAATGCTAGGTTCTGGAGTTCAAGTAAGCCATTAACATTTATTTATCTCATTATAAAAGGTGCTGCCTTTTTACTTTGTAATTGCTTATGTGTGTGAGGAGAAGGGGTTGTGTAGTGGCGTGGATTGTTGCGTGTATGTTACATATAAAAGTAATTGAATTGAAATGTTGAAATTAAATATTTTAAGAAAATTTTAGTTACAATGACATAAAAAAGTGACATATTCTAATTTACAATTAGAAGCCTAATTATGCAAATAAAAATGATGACTACATTTTTCAACATATAGGATATAGTTAGCATCAAAGCAAACTAAGCGTTAATGCAAAGTTGATTGAAAGGTTTACTGCATTACAATGCATTTTATTTCACCTATAGCTTTAATGATACAATTACTTACATTTACTTTTCATTTCTGTTAGGTTCTAGCAATATAATTAATTTTCAATAGTATATGCCTAAATGATCTTAAAATTAGAGAATTTTAAAAAAAAATTAATTTTTTAATTCATACATTGATATACATAACACTGATCTGGGCTGACAGCCATGAAAACATTGGTCGGCAAAAAAAAGCCAACAGTTTTTAAAAAACCGTATCAACAAACAAGTATTTAGGTTTCAACATTATCAATTTTCAATAACATGTTCTTCAGATTTTCAAATTCAAAAACAATAAATTAATAAAAATAAATAATTCAAAAACCAAAGAAAAACAACAAAAATTAAATAAATAACTGTTTTCTTTACTTAATTATTTAAAGTTTTTGGGTTTTAATATGGTGTTGACTAGTAATGTATATATTTTAGTTTTTATTTATATAAATGAGAAAGGGTTTGTCTGTCTGTTATGCATTATTACACCATTCATCCAATAGACTTGAAAAGTCTGTGTAATCATACTAATTTTTTAAAATCTTTTTATAAATATGGCAAGCGATAAAATTAGAGTTACATTTTTAAAAGTTAAAGCTGTTTGGGAACCATCGATTACACTTTAAATTTGTGTATTGAATATAAGCAGTTGAAAAGCTGGTTAGAATTCTTTTATCAATATAAATATTTTAAAAAAATGCCCTCAACCTCTCCTTGAAGTCAATCTGGGTTGTAAAATAATGAAAGTCATTATAAAATACACAATAGTGGTCTATGATGTATAGCATAGTATTGTAATTATATTAAATATAACATCCCTAACACCCTGACTCTGCTAAACAAAATTAAAAGTGTTTGCTAAATTACTATTATATTACTATTATTTGTGTGACTATTTCTAGTCTTAAGGGGATATGCACGTTTTTTTCCTATTTTTTACAATTTAATATCTAAAGCCTTTTGAATACTTTTATCATGTTTGGCATATAAAAGTAAGTATTAAACAGCAAAAAAAAGGGTTGAAAACAATTTTGAATTTTTTGGTACTTTTAAAAATGCTAAGGTTTTTTTTAGCGCAATTTCCATACTGACAGTTGCGATTATTAATTTGTTCTGGATGGATGTGTGTCCGCAGCTTTAAGTCGTATCTCCTCCTCAACGAAGCAATATCGAGGACTAGTTCCAAAAGCAAATATGTTAAGCAAGTTCCGAGGATGATTGTGGGCCAAAAAAATTCCCGGAATTCCTTCCTGGATTTCCTGGAAAAGCCAAAAAACCTCGAAAAAATGCAGTTTTTGGCCCATATCTCGGCAACCAGACCACTTAGCGACTTGAAACATTTACCAATCGATTCCTGCTATAATTTAGAACAATATTGCTGAAGAAAGTTTTCAAAAATATCCTTTCGTTCGGTCACAAAAAATTAATTAAGGAAATTGCGCTTAAATTGTCACTAGACTTTTTATTAACGTGTTTATTTATGCACCTATAGCAATAAAATTTAAATTGCTTATATTTCAGTATATATTAAAACTTGTCATAAAAACTTTTTGAAATAGCTACTAGTAAGAATTTTACAAAGTCTAAAAAAATCGTACCATTCTTAGTGTTCAAAAGTTTCAAAATTTGCATATTAATTACCAAATACTTTTTTCTATGAAAGCCCTCGTGACAAAAATTGTATTTTTGCATGAAGAACAATTACTGAATATTTGGTGGCGATTGTTTAATAAATAAAAAAGTAGTAGGCTTTATAATGTTAAAAACCTTCAAACTGAGAAAAACAGCCAAAAGTAACGAAAAGTAGGTCACGAAAATACCATATCTGTGTAAACTGCAAAGCCAATTGTAAGCTTTGGGTGTTTCCGAGATGATGGAAATTAAGATTATAAATAAAGGAGAAATCCAGCTTTCCAATGATGCCAAATACAATATGATGACGGATATAAATCTTTTCATAGAGAGCGTGTAAGATTGGGAAAAATTTATTATTTTTTAATTAATAGGGTCATAGAACTGGTAATTTAAACACCAAAAAAATTTTTTTTCTCTTTAATTAAAGTTATTATTTTCTTAATACAAAAATGGACAAAGTATCTAAAAGTGCAAGAAACCCATCATGACGATAAAACAAGAAATGTTGTGATTTTTTTGCGTGCATATCCCCTTAATAAAAACAAAAGATATTTTTCACACATTACACAAATGCTATAAAGTATTAAATTTTGTTTTAAAAATATGCTTTCTGGCAACAAAAATTTAGAACCAGCTTTTCAAGCCTATTGCCATGAAACGTTGGGAAGTTCTTTGTTTCTGTCATTTAAAAAATGTAATTATGAGGCCTAAACCCCCCCCCCCCCCCACCATGGAGAATTTTATTCATCGCTGGAAAAAATTTAAGTGACCCTCCCCATGGAAAAAGGTCTGAAAGAAACACTGTCTGCATGATTGAGGTTTAGTGGCCAAAAGTGGGAAATGGGTATAGATTATAGAAGTAGCGGCTACCTTTAGTGTGTACTTGAAAATTTTCGAAGGGAGGGGGGGTGGACTAAATTTTCCAGCGATGGGGGTGGACACTTGTGAAAGTATCCTTTCTATATAAAATCTGTCATTATAGGGGGAAGTACACTTTCTTCAAAGTGTTGCCTGAAAGAAAATCTAAATGCAACTTTAAGTTTGAGCTTAGGTGCAAGTTTAGGGGTATGACTATGACTATATTTAGTATGAATGTGCAGTAACTGCAGTTTCTGAATAAAAATCCATATTCAATGGCATTGTTTGTTTCCAGTTAAATTTGAAGTTGAGGTGGTAATTTTGGTTTTGGTTTAGAGAAAAAGATCACACTATCAACCTAGCGCCCTCACTGGGCCATTTATCTCATTTATAAAATATTGGTCAAAACGCAACATGCTTTACTACACATTGAACGCTATTAGTGACAAAGCAAAAAAATAAATAAATAGCTAAAAATCCAATACATTTAAAATAACTTAGGCTACCAATAGGCCTACCTATTAGAATAATTAAAACCAAATAATATACATTATTAGTCAACACAACACCATATTAAATGCACACACTGATTAAGAGACTTAAATGATTCCATTAAAAACCCGGCTGTTCAGTGGTATTTATGTTGATGTTTTTTTAAGTAATTTGTATTAGTTTTGGCCTAGAAAACTATACATTTCATATCATATGTCTTGATATGTAGATCTATAGATCTAAATCAAATTTAAATGAAAGTTCATTTCTTCATATTCTAAAATTGGAAGATGACTTTATTTGTGTTGTGTACTTTCAGTAGTTTAAACATGTGATGTCATTGTTTTTTGCGCTCTTGTCACAATCATAAACGCTTTTCCGGTTGCATAATTGAAAATGTGTTTCTACATTTGAATTTGAATCAATAAGCCTTTATTTTTTATTTTCCTTCTTTAAATAAAATTTAGTTTATACATTTAATACATTCAACATATTATTTTCAACAAAAGTCTTATTTTTAAGTCCACGATATATTACTGAAGATACTGATCTCATAGGCTCGGGAAATATGTTGCGGACAGAAAGTGAGAAGTGCACGCATAAGCTTTTATATATTAAGATAAAAGTAGATCTTAATTATAGAATAGGGCCTATGACATTTTTTTTCCCACGTTTTCTTTAACTTGCTTTCGTCTCTGTTTGTCTTTCCAATCAAATCTTGCGATCGAAATTTCTGGCACTTCCCAGTTAGCTAGCGCGCTGAAATTTTCAGGGAAGCTTTGTTTTGGATGACATTAGAATATTCAATTGTTATTATTACTAAATTGATCCATGGAAACATTTTATTGAGCATTTTAGACCGCTATATAATCTATATATATAATTCTCCTCTGCGAGCCATTAGAAAACAAGCTGCAAGCGCCTCCTTACAGTCCCCTCTCTTTCTCTCTATCACTATCACTACCACCCTACCCCACCCCCACATGGTCTGCTGAGCTGTGGTCACGTTAATGTTTACAAACCGTACAGCCAGGTTTAGTGACGGCTATTAGGGGCAGATAATTTAGTTTGAACCGACTTTAAACTTACAGGAGGTAACTAAGAGGAGGCTGCTTTCACGGGGGGGGGGGGGGGGGTGTGTAGGGTCGGGGTTAGGGGAAAGGAGGGGGGTTAGTGTTTTAAAGCAAATATTTTCAGTGGCAGCATTGGTACTGTCTTATTCACAAATTATGAATTACTGAAAAGTAGAAAATAAATCAATTAAATAGCGGCGTATGATACGCCGCAGGTCGGCTCGTTGTAGTAAAAACGTGGGGAAAAAGGGACATAACCCAGTAACTGTAATTTGTGTACAAACAACCGTAACAACTGGTGGCCAGTATGGGGGAGACGATATGGTCGAGTGGTTGGGCACACGATTGCTATCCCACTCGACACGGGTTCAAATCTATGTGTTCTAGTCAGTAACGTATTCACACAACGTGTTTTTTACGAGTTGTCTTTTTACGAGTTGTCTTCGTTTACCCAAAAAAAAAAGTGAAAAGATAAAATCGATAGCAAGATTTTAATGCAAACAAACAGACAAAGACTAAAAAGTAGAAAATAATAATCATTAAAAAAGTTTTAAAAAACCCACGTTTTCTGATTGAACTAAAAAGTAGAAAATAAATGCTATACATCACAATAATGCAAGCGATCACTCTACTATAAGAGATCAAAAACGTGGGCCGCCGTGATTTTCTTACAGTTTCTAATACTGTTGACTCTCTACAAGCTCCCTAATAAAAGTCAATAGTATTATCTAATCAATAGTAATATAACTTTTACTTCGGCGCCCCACGTTTTTCATCGCTTATAGTAGAGTGATCGCTTGCATTATTGTGATGTATAGCATTTATTTTCTACTTTTTAGTTCAATCAGAAAACGTGGGTTTTTTAAAACTTTTTTAATGATTATTATTTCTCTTTCATTGTCTCATTTTTAAACCTAAATAAATCACTTGTTATCTACCTGCTTTTATAGTCAGTAAAGTGTTATCCCATACGCACATTCTGGGCCCATAGATTTATCAGCTTTATTATAATTCCATTTCATTAACTCAAATGAGGAAATAAATACAGAAACTAAAAATATTTATATACACTTCAAACAAAATATGGGGCTAGGAAAATTGAACCTGTTAAAATAAACTTGGTTAAATAATATTTTTATAATTGATTACTATTTCTTTAATTAAAATCCAAACTGGTTTTAATAGAAAATTTTAATTCTTTATGTATTAAATTGTTTCTTTAATACATGTTTGGAATTAAGTTAAAGAAATAGGAAGTAATTGTTAAAAACTATAATTTTGTTAGTAAAGTAAGTAAAGATTCCTCTTTAGACCTAGCAATCCAATGGGCAGATGAAGTATGTTTTTTTACTTCAGCATATGAAGGGATGGTGTGGTCAGCAATACGCCCAGCCGATTTTTTACTCCCCTACGCTTCTGGTACCCATCCTACAGTCACAAGTCCGAACATGAAATCTTCGGGCTAGCAGCCAAACGCCCTACCATTCGACCCTGCTATAGTAGAGAAGTTATAAATTTTGAAGTGTGCTAAAAAGCTCAAGAGTAGTGTATTTAAGTTACATTTTGCTATCAGATGATTGCTAGGAATTAGGATGCACATATTACGCTTAAACGCTTGCACACTCATCTGAAAATCCAGAACATTTCTAATGTTTTTGCTCAACAATAGAAAAAAATAAGCTTATTCCAAAACTCTGTAATTAGTGTAAGTAGAATGTATATATTTGGTTCCAGTATCTTACTGTAGTCATTTGTTCTAAAGCATAAGATAATATGTCAGTCACTAATCAGTAGAAACACTGCAGTTATATTAGAATGCAAAATTGCACTAAAAGTGGTGACAAAAACTATCTTAGTTTAATAGACCTACTAATTCTATTTATTGAAAAGCAGCTAACTACTAACTTGTCTGTAACTGGACATTCCATTGAAATCAAGCACTTAAAAATGAAATGAAGGGTGTTGGTACTTGTGTAACCATGGGAAATAATGGGTTTAGAAATGTGAGGTTATATTAAAACTAAAATTAAGACCCTTTATTAGCCCTTAATTTTAATACCAATGTCATCTCATCCGTGATTTATTTTTTCAGTTATTTGACCACATTGCAGACTGTATCTTCAAATTTATGTCAGACCACAAGTTACAAGATCGCAATCTACCATTGGGATTTACATTTTCTTTCCCTTGCCGACAAGAGGGTTTAGACAAAGCCATTCTTACTACATGGACCAAGGGTTTTAAGTGTGAAGGAGTTGAAGGAAATGATATTGTTAAGCTGCTGCATGATGCTATTGAAAGAAGAGGAGTAGGATTTTGTTAACATTTTAGTTGAATTCTCATATATATTGATTTTGTATGGACTGATTTTTAACAAAAGAAAATAAGAAATGTCTGGTCAGCTGTCTAAGGTGTATATGTTACTGGTAAACAGTAAACCTAGCATTCTTTCAAATGCCCAAAGTAGGCCAGCAGAGTACAAAATATATCACATTTTGTACTCTGCTTTGACATTATTAGAATGCCAAACAAGAGAACCAGCAAAGTGTAGAATAAGTATTAAGTTCTTTTCCATAAATTGCATGTTCTTTTCTTGTTAGGTATATTGCTTTAAAAGTATTTACATATCATCTATATCTATACTAGCCGTCCCGGCCAGGCCCTGCTCTGGCTTCTGTGAAAAACCTTTCTGTTAAAGACCATTACCTGTGTGTTTAGTAATCATCATAAACCCGGCATTGCCCACCCAAACCACAACCAACCAAAACAACAAAACGCAAACATAATGCTAACACAATTACAAATACAAACAAAAAAAAAACCAACAACAAACACAACCACAAACACCAATACAAACACAAAGAAAAAACAAACAAAAAAGCAAACAAAAACCTAACAACAAACACAAACACCAATACCAACCAATAACAACAAAAAAAAAAAAAAAAAAGCAAACGAAAACAAACCAAATCCAAATGCAAAACCAACCAAAAACACAAATACAAACCCAAAGAAAAAAACGAAAAAAGAAAGAACAAAAACGAACCAAATCAAACCGCAACCACTAACGCAAACCCAACCTAAACACAAAGAAAACACTAACGCGAACATAAACGCAAAGTGCTCACAGTCTAGCCCGGGGCGGAATCGCCTGTTTTAGATTAATAAACGACTATAGTACCCCAACTTATTCATAGTCTTTTGCACTCACTTAAACGGATGCGTTTGTTTCAATTTAATGAACAATTATAATACTCCAAGCTTATCCGTAAAATACCTACAACATTTGCACTTGATCAATCCCCGCTAATTATGTAATTATTTTTTTCTCCCAACACCAAAACAAAGTAATAAAAAGTAAATTCTTTTCCACTAATGCAATGGTTTTATAAAGGGAAGTAATTGTGTTTTCCTAATTTATCGAAGGGAAGTAAGTGCTATAGGACTAAATAAATACATAATTAGAATTTTTGTAAAAGATGATATTTTTTTTAAACTCGTGTTTAATGAACATGCTGAAAATTATTACTTTCAGTTTGATAAATGAAAATTATTTCCCATAACTTTCAATATTAATTTTTTAACTCATAAATTTAGACCATAAGGACTTTAATTATCTAACACTTAAATCCATGGAAGATCCACGACAAACATATGTGTTACATACAGAATTGAGCTTTATATTAGATGTATAAAAGTGTGGGTATGCACTACTATACCTTTCTTCCCTTTAAACTTTGGGCGTTTTTGACAATGCTCCTGGAAAGGTTTGTGCAAAAAAAAATTAATTTTGGCCCATTAGGGTTCAAAAAGGCACCCGAGGGCTTCAGAAGAAAAACTATTATTGAAATTTTAATATTCAGAGGAATTGATCAGGAGTTAAATTGTTGCAAAATATTATCTTGGTTATTTCCCTTTGTTGTAATTTTTCAGCTGCTTCAGTTGAACTAACCCATTGCGAGATCTTTACTCAAGTTATAACAATGTGCATATATATTAATGGTCAGTGATATATATTAATGGTCAGTGCATGAAGGCAGATGTATTAGCACTTTATAGTCAGCTTGGAAATAAACCCTTATTAAAGCCCCTTGAAAAGAATATATGGGAAACCTTTTTAAGTCCTCAATTATGTTGACTGTTTAAGGTGGTTATTCATTACATACTTACATATTATAGTTGTGAAGAACATCTGTTAAGATACTAAGGGTGAGAATGCAAGACTAGCATGGTTATCGATTTAGCCTCCGTATTTATATTTAATAAGCAAGTGAATTTTGGTGTAGCCCTACCATATTGATAATTGTAGAACCAGCTAAGTATAAATATATATTTATAACATAAAGGTGCACCGACTGAGGCATTCTAAATAAATTTTCTTAGTTTTAAATGCATCCCTTGCTCTAGAGACTAATAATTATTTCAACTAAACATATTTTCTTCATGGGACCCTAGCACTCTTCCAGACACCATTGCATCGCCCATCATAAATAAGTCACAGACATAAAGACTGTTTAAGAGCAATGGTTATTCTGTATTTCAATATATCCAGATCTACTGTAGGTATCAAAAAAAATTTTTTTTTAAAAAAGACGCTTTTTTGACAGATTGTGAACCACTCCTCTCTTCTGATTAAAAGTGTGTTTCAAACATGTGTTATAGGCATAAAGTTACTTAAATTCAAAGAAGAAATATTCCCCTACATTTTGATACACTTTTTCATTAGAAATCTTTTGGGGATTTTTTAAAATATATACAAAATATGTTTTTTACTTGCCTTTTTAATTTGATCAAAAAGTGAGAAAAGATAATTTCAATACAATTAATTTAAATTATGAACTTATTTTAGAGGTTTGAGTCTTTTCTCTGAGTAAGTGTCTTTGTGTTGGGTTCAAAAGATTTGAGTTTGTATGATATACTTTTACAGATAGAACCACCCCCCAAACATGGCACTTTTTAGGATGTAAAAAAAAAACTGAACTTTTTAAGACGTCATAACTTTTTACTAATTGAGATGTATGAACAAATTTAGTATCTATTATCTTAGAATCTTGAGTTCTTGACATAGCAGCTTTCCAAAATGATCTATGACTGTTTTAAAAAATCATACCTAATGTTACCATAAATCAGTATGTCATGTTTTAATACCTTGTATGTTTCTTATTAATCTTAGAGCTGAGTTTATGAGGTCATAAAACAATCCACACAGACAACTATTGATAGCCAACAAGCTTCTTTATGAATCAACAAAAAATTTAATTCTATTCAAAAGACAAATTTAGAAGATATATATGTGTATATATATATATATATATATATATATATATATATATATATATATATATGTGTGTGTGTGTATATATATATATATATGTATATATATATATATATATATATATATATATATATATATATATATATATATATATATATATATATGAAAATGTTTGTGAATTTTTACATGTAGATCTATACTTAATTTGCTCTGTATCAATAACAATTGCAGCAAACAATGTCAATTGGTTTACTAGCAAATTAAAATAGCTAATATTTAATATAATATTTTTAACTTAATTTGAGTAAAGTCCTATTAACTTTATATTAGCTATATTAACAGTAATTTTTTCTTGAATGCACTTAGGATATGCAAAATGTAAAATGTTTGGCTGTTATTAATGATACTGTTGGAGCTCTTATGTCATGTGCACATAGTGATAGACAGTGTGCTGTTGGTCTTATTTTGGGTGAGAACTTTTTATTTAACTTATATTGTATGTCCATTATTTTAATGAAAACAAGTAATCTCACTAGAGTTAATGATTCAGTCTTTCTCATTATTAATTTCCATTATATAACTCCTTCAGGGAATACAAGCTATTTTATAGGTAGTTAATTAATAGCAAACCTCAAAATAAGGCTTGGAAAAAATAACCTTTGCACACCACTTTCCCCTCCTTAATTCCCAACATAATCCAATTAGATATGGTAAAATACATTTAAACAGTATCTCTCATGCCTAACGCAGTAAACATTGTAGAATTAATATAGAAAATATATACTTTTACCAGTGTCTAACCCCCCCCCCCCTCCCCCAAACAAAACAGTCTGAAAGAAACAGTGGTGACAGACACCATTTATATTTTCTATACCCTGAGTTATAAATGAAATGTACAGACTTCATGCAAGCATTTTCTCCTAACCATATTCTCTTAAAAATAAAGCATCATTAAGACAAGCATTTAAAAATTATACAGAAATTATTTCTTTACCAACTGAAGTGTTATAAATTTAATTCTGTTGTTGGTTTTTATAAAATATAAACCTGCGTCACTTTATTTTTATTATGTATAGAACAGCTGCTTAAAACCTATGTTTTTTCAAAATAGTTTGATGATGTAAAATAATATATATATTTATATCTTTGTTTCACCTTCAGGAACTGGAACTAATGCCTGCTATATTGAATCACTTGAAGAAGTAAAAACATGGGATGGAGATTTTAGAGAACCTAAACAAGTATGGATTTTGACAAGACAATATAAGGAATTTAACAAATTATTTCCAAATCTTAAATAAAATCTACAATTATATAGCCCCCTATTGTTGTTTCAAAATAAAAAATAATTAATGTACCAAAAGTTTATCCCTCTACTCAAGCAACCAAAGTGACTTTCCATTATAAATAAAGGTCTAATATAATTATGAGTGCAACTGGTACTCAAGATGAACCACCTGTAGTGCCAGCTTAATCGCTAAAAAATTATTTAACTTGTGGGATTGTCTAATGTTTATTTTTTAAGCATCTACTCTTACTACCTTAGCAAAGACATGTAATACAACACTCCTTATGTTAGTGTTACTGGATTAGTTATTGTCTGGGCACATAGTCCAGCTGTGCATTGTATTCTGGTAACAACTTTTATTTTATTTGCTAATTTTAGGTGTTAATAAATACAGAATGGGGAGCTTTTGGAAATGACGGCTGCTTGGAGTTTATTCTGACAGATTTCGATAGGTCAATTGATAAACATTCCATTAATCCAGGAAAGCAAATGTTAGTAATCATACTTATTATTTTAATATTGAACACATTAAATTACAGATTTGTTTGAACTCCAATTTAAAAAGAAAATATATTGCTTTGTATTTTAAGAACATAAATATCATGAATTCCAAGATTTCTGTTATAAGCACTAGCAACGACTTTACTTTTCACTCTTTCAGTTATGAAAAGATGATTTCTGGAATGTACATGGGTGAAATAGCTCGTCTTGCAATTGAAAGATTAAGGAAACATAACCTGTTGTTTGATGGTGAGGGCTCTTACCATTTGGCAACTCGAGGAAGATTTTATACTAAATATGTTTCTGAAATAGAAGGGTAGGTAACAAATAAGCTGTTTTACCTGCTTTTAACATAGATGTGCTGTTTTTTATTTAGTATTGAAGTAAAACTTTTTTTAATGTTTCAGTGATGATGTTGACAGTTTTAAAGTAACCAAACAAATTTTTGATGAACTTGAGTTATCAACATACAATGAACAGGACTGCCGGCTAGTGAGACATGTTTGCAGTTTAGTTTCCAAAAGAGCAGCATATCTTGCATCGGCAGGTACTTAAAGTATTATTTTGTTAAGTTACTTTTTCATATACAGCAAATAGAGGAAGTATGGTTGTCGCACACGGATTTTAACAGTTCTACCATTTTACACCTCCCTACTTTATCATATACATAATAAAAATCATTTATTGTAATTGTGCAAAAAATTTGAAATTGATGTTTTGACAAATTTTGATGTTTTACAACCTTTCTGAGCTGGAAAAACTAAATCTTATTATCCTATCTGTCTGTATATATGTGAGCATAATAACTTTAACACTGTATTAGTAAGTTGGCAAAATTTCATATAGACGTACATCTATTTCTTTATAACCGGAAATGGTACTTCCTCTACTTCCAGTTTATAAAAACCCTATAACTTGAGTAGTGGAATAGCATGGTCTAGCGGTAAAGAGCTAGACTGCGAACCCGAAAATCTCTAGTTCAAATCCGGGTTCAAGTCAGTAGGGTGACCCTGAGTCCACCCAGCTGTGATGGTAACTAACTCACATAAGGGAAATAAAGGCGGCTGAGCATAGTGCTAACCACACTATCGCTTCATATGGCAAGCTCACAGAAGCTGGTGAACTTCACTATTTCTGGTAACCAGGAGTGGTACTTTATTTCCATTGGAACACAAAAACTTGACGAAATTTCATATAAAAGTATAAGATTTTATACTTATACTTGGATTACTCTAAAATTTTAAGTGACCTCTGATATCAGGAAGTGGTACATTACTCTTTCCTGTTTCTAAAATGCAGATAACAAAGTAGTGTATTAGGTAGATGAAAGAAAATTTTTCTTATAAAGAATATAAGAAATATTCACCTTTTTGCGTTTTCTCAGAACCTTCTAAAATTCTACAGCCCAATGGCACTAGTAGTATAATAAGGGTGTAGGACAAATAGCCGACATCCAAAAGGTCGACAAGACATAAGGCCGACATGAACAAAAGGCCGACATGGACAAAAGGCCGACAGGACATAAGGCCGACAGGACATAAGGCCAACAGACCATAAGGCCGACAAGCATAAAAAATACTAATATCGCAAAATATGTGTTACTGCATAGCTCCTATCTTGACAACCATTGAAATAAGGCATGAAAAAAGGTGAAATGTTCAAAAGAAGAGGCGGTGCTATTTGCTATCCTTATTAGGTGAACCATCGGGTCAAGCGACTGGAGATTACGGGAGTGTCTCAAACACAAAGTATCAACAACTAAATATTGCGATTTTCATAGCTCCTTCTATGTAATCGAGGTGAGATAATCATCAAAACCTAGTCAAAAGCCGCTGGTATCATCGCCCTACATACAACAAGGTGGAACACCAAGAGACAATGCTAGTTTCTATCCTTATAAGGTGAACAATGGGGTCCATGCGACTGGAGATGACGGGAGTGTACAAAGAATAAACAGATAGGTGGCGTTACCACCATATTTCGCAAAGAAATCGAATGAAGTAGTACAATCGCGTGCCTTGACTAGACTACATGTTAAATATAGACAAAATTTTAATTATATTTAGTTTCGTCTATTGTGAATTGCGTGAAAAAAAGTGTTTATTATATTTGTTGGATTCATTAATTCTGTTGTGATTGTGATACAAGTGTGCAGAAATTGGTACGTTATTTTTGTTTTTTGTATAAACTTACCCCTGTGATTTCCATATATATGGATCAACATATCAGCAACAAATAATTGGTTACATCGTGTGTTTTATTTTATCCTATTGTATGTACCTAAGAATATTTATTAGAAACTTAAAAAGTCGTATATAATTACATATTTTAGATATTAAACATGCATGTAATTGTAGATTGTTATTTATAAAACTTGTCTGCCTTTTGGATGTCTGCCTTTTGTCTTGTCTGCCTTTTGTCCGGATCCCGTATAATAATACTCATTACTACACCAGATGTTCACAATACATTACTGCACTCGCGGTGGTGCTGCACTCTTGGTGGTGCTGTTATGCCTACAGCACAAGCCCATGCAAGCATTCTTCTAGCTGTTATTAAAGATCTAACTTTAACATGGTTATTTAAAGTTTATTACTAGATTTTTTAAAAAATTATATCTAACTTCTCTGTGTGAGTACTCTATGCATAATAGAGGGTTCTCACTTGTATGATGATGTTCTATGTGAAAATGTGCTTTTAGTAATGATGGGGTGTTTGTAACAATCTACTAAAATTAAGTCAATTCATTGTTTGTTGTTGTGTTTTTCATTATTACCATAAGCTGGTATACTTACCATTAACATTTTGTCTCAAAAACATTGCTCTAATTGCATCATATTCATATAAAACAGCTAAAGTTGCTAGTTTTTTTTTCATTTGTGATATTTTTGTCTGTTGTTTTCTGTATTTAGGTATTGCTTGTCTTCTCAACAAAATGGACAGAAAATTAGTAACAGTGGGTGTTGATGGTTCTCTCTATCGTTTTCATCCTTTTTTTCATGATCTAATGATGGAGAAAACAAAAGATTTGACAAGATCTGACATCTCTGTAAGTACAAATTATTTGTAATATTTTCCTTGTAATTTGCAAATCTGTAATCACTGGGCTGGATGTTCATAAATACACAATACCTATTGATAGAAAAATCTTTGAAAATAAATTGCAGTTTTTTGATAAATATTATGTCCTTAATGCTCTGGGTTCCCAGCTCTTTTTGCTGGCAACGCCTTTTTTTTTAATTCACGACCCCCAAAAAAAACAGGTGTTTTTAGAAGCTTTTATTTAACTCACTTCCTCGACAGTCTGTCAGTCTGTCTAGACCGAAACGCCGGAGTGAAAATTCGGAAACTTCTACTTGATCGATACGATTCACACTTGGCACGTGGGTCAAGACATGAAGAAAATGCAATCTGAAATTAAATTTGACTTAATTGGATGCCTAATTAATTTTTTTTGAATTAATTAAAATTTTGACCGAATTAGTAGCCATGTCTATCCAACCACACCACACGCGTCATCACGTTCAATAGCTGCGCCATCACGTTCAATAGCTGCGCCATCACGTTCAGTGGTCGCGCAATGGTTTTTAGTCATGTAACTCTATTGTAAATAAAACATGTAAAGTACTGAAAAAAAATTCATAAAAAACATTTTAATAACAAGCTTTATCCAATAGGTACTAAAGTGACCCGCGCTTTTCTTTATAGTAATTTAAATAGTAGTGAATAATTTATTTTCTACTTTTTAGTGCATTAGTACATAAAAGCTTGTTATTAAAACGTTTTTTATGAATTTTTTTAACACCTTTTTGTTTGAGTTATTTCTACAACATCAGAATGGTTTGGTTAATTTTTCATTTCCAAGGAAGCATACTGCATAAATACAAAATTTATCCTGTTCATCGAGAAAGCTGGCTTTATCAAGCAAAGCAGAGAATAGATTTTATGTCAATGTGGTCAATTATAGGTTGTTTTTTGCGTCTGTTCAGGGAAGTAACTTTTTTTCTTCAGATTTTCTTTATTTCACCTTCAGGTTATCTGCCACATTGTACAGTTTTCCAAACATGACAATTTTTCACCCAGTCCCCCCCACTTTATGTTAATTCCCATAAAATTTCAGCTTGTCTATTTTGCTGAAGTAATATTTCTGCTAGTACTGTTATCTGTGAATTGCTGTTGAAGTAAAACAAAATGCACATCCAAGAAAAACATCTTTTAATTTTTTGACAACCAGCGTACAGCAATATAGAAAAGCCTCATGATTAAAATGTTTTTTATTCCTACCTGGTGAAACATGAAAATAAGAAACTCAAAAACCTCTGCCCTACCCCTAAACTGATGGCAGATAGCCACGCCCCTTCCGATACTAAAGTGGTCTGCATACCTGACACCATCCCCCTCTCGAGTGATGAACAATCTGTCCTAAATAAAGGCTTGTAATTTATACCCCTGAGACCAACCACTGATAAATTTACTCTGCTTAGCAGCGCCCACGAGCTCTTCCGCAACCATCCCCCAGGTTTTAATCAAGATAACATTGAAGATGACTTATTTTATAAACTCGCAAAAAGACAGTCGCATACTGAGTACAAACTAAAAATAACTTGAAACTGGCCCCATTAAAACACTCCATCTCACAGCTGGTGAATCGTGTGCGCTTGCATCCTTAATGACCTGCACGGACATTGTTATTAAACCGGCTGACAATGGCGGAGCTATCGTTGTATGGGATAAAGATATGTACACAAAAGAGGCATATAAACAAGCAACTCTCTGACAGTACGTTCTACTTGCCGCATCTAAAAGATGGCATCTTAACTAATAACGCTGTTGTTACCAAACTATGAACACATTAAAACAGCATCTAGCCTACGCATCTTTGACAGCAAATTGGGAAGACCTTCATTTTATTTTATTTACTACCCAATATTCATAGATCTGGTTGCCCAGGTAGACCCATTATCCGCATGTGCCTGTCCTACTAAACTATATCTTCCTTTCTTGACAGCATTTTTCAACCCAGAGTTGAAGCACTACCATCCTACCTCAAAGATACCAACCATGCAACTTTAGAATCTCTCAAATTTACTAACAATAAATGGAGATTAGTTTTCTTAATAAAAGTGGTGTTTTTGTACACCTCGATACCCCACAAAGGTTGTCTACTAGTGATTAAACTTTTCTTCAATGTGAACCCCCATCCCTCTATTGACTGTAACACTATACTTAGGTTAACCGAGTTAGTTCTCAACTCGTTCGAGTTTGATGGGCAGTTTTTTTACCAAATAAGTGGAGTAATGGGAACAAAAATAGATCCCAGTTATGTGTGTCTTTTTATGGGTTACCTGGAGGGTCAACTTCAGTAAAATTAAACACTGGCAGAATTCCAGGTTTTTATCAGCGGTACATTGATGATGGGTTAGGCATCAGAGATGGCAGAAGAAGAACTAAAACATTAAATTTACCTCTGAAATTACAGCAGTTCTGTTAACTTCCTGGATATGACAATATTACTTAACACAACCAACGTTGGAACGACCATATTCTACAAACCAACCGACTCACACTCATATCTGCTGTACTCTTCTTCACACACCCCAGCCTGCAAAAATTCAATACCATTCTCACAATTTGTCAAGATGATGTTGACTTTTGGAACAAGGCCCATGAACTATTACAGTTCTTCCGGCTCCGGTCATATCTAGAACATATACTTCAGTCAACACTACACCGCAGAAGAACTGTTGACCACCAGGCCTCCCTTCTACAATTTCCAAAACAAAAGTCAGATAGAACTAAACTCATCTTACCCTACCACCCTCATTTGGCTAAAATATTATAAAAAATTATTCTATCCTTAAGTCAGACCCCCATTTAGGCCATTTATTTCAACAGAATCCTTTGGTGGTGTTTAGAAGGAAATGCAATCTTAGAGACCTTTTAGTCTGGAGCCGCCTGCCATCCACTATCACCACAAGGTTTGGCACTACTTCTTGTTCCCGCAACTACAATATGTGTCATTTCACCCTTCAGGTTGAATCAGTTCTGCTGCCTAAGGGAACCCTCAGAATAAAATATATCAATTCAACTGTGAGTTCCGTACCGTAATTTGTCATCCAGTGTAGGCGATGCAACATCTTTTATATTGGACAAACTGGGAAACGATTGTCTGACAGGGTTAGTCAACACATGCGGTCAATAAACAATGAAGATAGTCATCCTGTGGACAAACACTTTAACAAGAGTGGACAAAACATAAAAAATGACTTTTGTGTAACCGCTGTTCGGTTTTGCCATTATTTAAAAAACCGCCTAAACACTGAAACGCGACTTATACTTAAATTTGGCACTCAGGCTCCAGATGGTTTGAACGAGCAGGTATCTTTCACCTAACCAATCCCACCCACCCCCCCCCCCTGCCCCATACACTACGCTCCCAACCCCACCACTATACGGTGTCCAAGCGTCCTTCTTCACGCGTCTTTTCTTTTGGACATTTTGGCATTTAGACAAGGCATGTTTTCAATGTCGAGCTAAGTCCAAAATTGTGTTACTGTTTGTCTTTTCTGTCTAATCTGTAACCACACTATTGTGTGGTGACGAAGACCTTGGGTCGAAACGTCCATAGTATTTATAACTGTCTTTAACTTGTGAGGTAACTAACACTATCTGTTATATTACTTATTAACCTCACTGCAGCTATCATTTGTATTTATGTTTTTGCGCCGTGTTCTTTAAACAGAATGGGACGGTGTGCTCAGATGGTAAACCCTATGATTGGTAACAGGAAAGTCTTGAGTTCTTTAATCCATATCTAGTCAAGTTTGTAAAGCCGATTTTACTGTTTAAGTTGACAATCCCTCCAAAAAACACTTAGCAGCGGTTGACCAGTGCTTTAAAAATGTTTTTAGATAAGATAAAATAATGAAAGTTACAAAAAATAATTACAAATATTTCTTGAAATTAGCTTTATTGAGTTTCATTTGAATTCGCTATAAAACTCTCCTTAACAATGTAATTAAATCTAGAATCTATTTAATGTATGTGCATACAACCACCAGCTAAAGTACCATGTGTTGTTTGGGATGTTTACCCCTTAATGTAAAGCCAACAACAAATTGTTTATAATTAAAGCCTACGTTCTACCAGAGTTTCTTTCAGGCATCTACTTTCTACATGCATCAAAGAGAAAAAATTAAACCTGGATTTACAAAACTGACTAAATTTTACACAAATATACATCCCATTAAGGGGATATGCTCTGTTGTTTGTTTTTTTTCTATTTTTTACAATTTAAGATCTTTTGTGTACTTTTAGCATATTTGGCACATGGTAAGTATTAAACACCAAAAAAAAAGGATTGAAAACAAATTTGGTTGTCATGGAAACCCGAAAAAACCACTGCCATTTGAATTTTTTGTTACTTTTAAAAACGCTAAGGCTATTTTATTTATGCATTATAGCAATCAACTTTAAACAGCTTATATTTCAGTATATGTTAAAACTTTTGTCACGAAAACTTTTTGAAAGAGCTACTGGTCAGAATTTTACCAGGTCTGAAAAATAGTACCCTTAATTTTAGTATTCAAAAGTTTCAAAATTTGCGTATTAATTACCATACTTTTTTTCTATGAAAGACATCACAATTCCCTCGTGACAAAAGTTTTATTTCTGCATAAAGAACAATTACTAAAAATATGGTTGGCATTGTTTAAGAAATAAAATAGTATTAGGCTCTTTAGTATTAAAAAGTGCTTCGCTACGGTAAAAGCTGTGGTGGTTGTAGCACGCCCCTTGAATATTTGTCGAATTGGTGTGTATGTGGATATTCCCTCAGCGCACTGCGCGCAGCAGTCCCCATATTGGTGTGGATATTTCTTTTGCGCAGGTGGTGACGGTGGTAACGAAAAGTTGTTCCGACAATACCATATCTGTGTAATTTGTAAAGCCGATTGTTAGATTTGGGTGTTTCCGAGATGATTGAAAAGATGCTTATGAAATACATGAGAAATGCATTACTTTAAAGCTGCTCATCTTTCTTTAAGTGATAATTTCTTTACTTTGGTCATTAACCAAACCATCTATATCCTCACCTTACACAACTCATGGAGTTGCTCAAAAGAATAAATGACTTCACCTCATGTTGAGGGGAGAGTTTCAAATTTGCACATATCTCTACCATGTTCATAGTCAAAACTCCAAATATCCTTTTTAGCGCAATTTCCATTCTGGAGAATTGCGTTTATTAACTCGTCTTTTCTGGGAATGGATGGATGGATGTGTGTTCGCAGCTTTAAGTCGTATCTCCTCCTCAACGAAGCAATATCGAGGACTAGTTCCAAAAGCAAATATGTTAACGACGATGATAGTGGGCCAAAAAATTCCCGGAATTCCTTCCTGGATTTCCCAGAAAAGCCAAAAAACCTCGAAAAAATGCAGTTTTTGGCCCATGTCTCGGCAACCAGACCACTTAGCGACTTGAAACATTTACCAATCGATTCCTGCCATAATTTAGAACAATATTGCCGAAGAAAGTTTTCAAAAATATTCTTTCGTTCGGTCACAAAAAAAATTTTTAAACTTACATTATACACAATACACTACAGTACTATATAGCAATATATAGATATCTATTTTTCGCTATCTTTTAGATCTTGCTATAAGTTTATTTATTTTTTATTACTTGTTTACTTATTAATTCAAACGTTATTTTTGTACCCTATTAATTTATTTATAATTTATATGAGAGTGATAGGGAGTTACAATTACAAGGTTTTGTTTCGCTAGGCCTAATCATTTTTTCACATTTTTTAAAAACAATAGAGTTAAATGACTAAAAACCATTGCGCGCCTACTGAACGTGATGGCGCAGCCATGGAACGTGATGACGCATCTATTGAACGTGATGACCCGTACATTAGGAAATTGCGCTTAAATTGTCACTAGACTTTTTAATTAACGTGTTTTTTAATTATCCAAAATTGAATTAAATTAAAACAAAGATTTTACTATACTTTTATTTCTGTATTAAACAGTAATATTTGTTGGTAAACAATTTACTTGGTTAAAATCTGCATTTCACATACTGTTATTTCCATTCCAGTTCAAACTAATGTTATCACATGATGGAAGTGGTAAAGGTGCTGCTTTGGTTGCTGCAGTTGCAAATAGGCTTTTGGAAGAAAGCCGTTTGGAAGAAAATGAAAGTAAAAATAGTGTTCTTGAAAAAGATGAATGATGTAATAATGATTTAGGGAGATGTTTTTTGTGTGTCTGTAAATTTAGATATAGAACTTATTTGTGATAAATTGTGATAATATAACTAGCCTACTTTGTTTGTACTATAATTGAGTATGTAACACAAACTCAGTGCTACAAATAAAGACGTTCTCAAAAAAACATTTTTAGTATATACAAATGCATCATCTAGATACTTTCAAATAAATAGCTGAATGTAGTATAAATGATAATTTGATGTTGATTAGTTTTAAATCTCATTATTTAACATATAAGATGTGGGGCAAATCTAATCAATCAGTTTCTGTTACTTCTAATGCTGTATATATTGTGGTTTTAGTATATATGCATTTATATTTTGTTTATTGTCGTTATCAGTGGTTAGTGCAAGTTAGAATTTTGTTTAAAATATTTCTGCTTTCATTGCATTTTCTTTTAAATTTTTCACAAAATAATTATTCACTTAAGACTTAAGTATAATATTTTTTTTTACTGAAACAAAATCTTTTTAAACAGTTATTAAAACATGCTCCACAAAATGATACAAAGAATTAACATCCAAGTATTTATGTTTTAAATATTCCAATATTTGCTATATGTAAATGGATTATTTTAATATTGTATATTCCTTTACATACTCATTACTTACATTTTTTAGGTCAACACTGAATTTAAAAGCGTGCGGCGTCAATTCGGCCAATGACGAAACGGCCCCGTCAAAACGACCCCGACAAAACGACCCCGTCAAAACGACCCCGTCAAATCGGCCCCGTCAAAAGGGCCAGCGACATATGGACCCCGTCATATAGGCTCCCGACAAATAGGCTCCCGTCATTTAGGCTACCGACAAATAGGCTCCCGTTATATAGGCTCCCGACAAAAGGGCTCCAGTCAATAAGGCTCCTGACAAATAGGCTCCCGTCATTTTGGCTCCCGACATATAGTCTCCCGTCATTTAGTTTTTTCCACAAAACGGCCCCCGTCATTACGACTCCCGACAAATAGGCTCCCGCCATTTAGTTTCTCCACAAAACGGCCCCCGTCATTACGACTCCCGACAAATAGGCTAGCGTCATTTTGGCTCCCGACAAAAAGGCTCCTGTCAATTTGGCTCCAGACAAAAGGACCACTGACACAGTGGCGTAGCTACCGTAAAGCTAGCGTAAGCAAGGCATGGGGGCCCAAGGCACATAGGGGCCCTTTTCCCTCATAAAAAAATAAAACTTTTACAATGGAATTTTAATATTTGTTACATATAAATAATTTAAAAAAAGAAAAAGGTTAAAAGTTCCAAAAAGCCCCCCCCCCCCCCCCCACCGTTTCGGCAGTGGGATTCAGTGTTTGTGGGTCAAAATGAGCCCAATCGTTATAATAACACTACAGGCTATATCACTTTGTCGTGCAAGACATTGAGAGAATCATCCTATCAATAAACTTTTTAGCAGTAGTAGGCAAGCATAATAGTATAGTATAAATACAAAATCAGGACATATAAAATACAAAATGTTGCCTTCAGAATATTTATATATTAAAAAATATCCATCGTAAGTAGAAGTTGATCTCTTCGTTTAACTCCTCTGTAGCCTAACGCAGAGGCGTAGCGAAGGCGAGGTGGAGGTGCGGACCGCAACGGGTGACACCATTTAGGGGGGGGGGGGGTGACACCAAAGGCAAAAAATTGTAAAATTTATAGAATGAAATGCCATTTTCCAGATCCATTAGTTAAAGTTAAATAGTCTTCTAAGTACAAATCGAAAATTATATCAAGACTGTAGATAAACATCGTTACTATTAAGTCAGCAGTGATTGAAGCTTAAACACGTACGTGTACCTGTATGTGGCATATATATAAATTTTAGGCCTATGTAGGCCGACACACACACACACACATATATATATATATATATATATATATATATATATATATATATATATATATATATATGCTTTGTTTCCTGGGAGGGGGTGACAATACGAAGTGCCGCACCGGGTGAGACCCGACCTAGCGACGCCACTGGCCTAACGGCTGACGATAATTTTTGCATAGGGGCCCAAAAATCCTAGCTACGCCACTGCACTGACAATACCGTTTCTGTAGAGACTAAGTCTCCCGGCAAAGCGGTCTCATTGAATATGACATCTGCCAGTGGGACCCCTTCATCAATATTCTTTAGAGTTAGCTTATCCAACACTCTTATGTAATACAACGTATGCATCTCTTGTTCGGCAGGCCTTATTTTTATATTAGTTTATCTATTATAAAATATAGTATGTTTTAATTTAAGGGTCATCTATCTATGACATCCATAATTGAGTCGGTTATAGGCTGTTCCAACTCATTGTGTGGGGAGAAGGGTCCACGCTGTACCTTCCTAACTGCAATATGCTTCTGCAGGGGCGTAGCGAGGGGAGGGGCGGGGGGTGCTGACCGCACCGGGTGACACCATTTAGGGGGGTGACACAAAGGCAAAAAATAGCAAAATATATAGAGAAAAAGTTGAGGGGGTGGGGGTGCAAATCGAAAGTTAGGGGGGGTGCAAATCGAAAACTTGAAAGTTTGTCCCCGGGAAGGGTCGCAACGCCTCTGGGGGGGGGGAGGTGACACCATTAAGTGCCGCACCGGGTGGCACCCGACCTCGCTACGCCACTGTGCTCGTAGGTTATCAAAACAAAATGCTGTTATCATGTTAACATCATGTATATCATACATTTACACTTCTGTGCTCGCTTTTAAGCAACAGATCTTTTCTGTTGTAAATTAAACATTATCAAAACTTTAGAATTGGTGGAATTTAGCTGTTAAGGGCTCGATTTGTTTGTGAATTAATGTTGGTTCATGAAAAAATAATTTCATTCGGGCATTAAAAAGAGGTTATGGTGGTATTGGAGGTAGGACACAATGGTTACTTTTATGCCAATAGTGGTCATATCATTCATTTTTCTGGAGCCAATATGTCGGGAGTCATTTTGTCAAAAGCCAATATGTCGGGAGCCCAATTGCCGGGAGCCAATATGTCGGGAGCCCATTTGTCGGTAGCCAAAATGTCGTGAGCCCATTTGCCGGGAGCCCATTTGTCTTGAGCCCTTATGTCGGGAGCCAATATGTCGGGAGCCGCTTTGTCGGGAGCCAATATGTCCTGAGCCTATTTGTCAGGGGTTAATATGTCGGGAGTCCATTTGTCGGGAGCCTAAATGTCGGGAGCCCATTTGTCGGGAGCCTATATGTCGCAAGTCAATATGACGGGAGCCCATTTGACGGGAGCCAATAAGTCGGGGCCCTTTTGACGGGGCTATTTTGACGGGGTCGGTTTGTCGGGAGTCGATTTGACGGGGTCGTATTAACGGGGCCGTTTTGACGGGGTCGATTTGTCCCGGGCCGTTTTGACAGGGCACCATTTAAAAGTATTGGATAATGGTTAAATAAATGAACATAATATGGACATTTTTATAACCCTGTGTTTAAATATCAAATAAGTTAGACTAAAAAAATTACCTCACAGATTTAGTATATCTAGTAGTTTAAAAGAACTTATTTTATATGCTACTTACAAATAGAGAAATGCATGCATTTTTTAACTGCCAGCCCGTTTCAGGCATTAGTTCTATCGAATTCCTAGCAATTTCAAAAATGCTGTATTTTACAATTTGTTGGTCACATATATAAAAATTCTTTAATGTTCCAACTTACCAAGCACATTATCGTCATGAAATTACTAAAACATTTTGTTCTGTAATTTTTTTGTATTCAATCTCTGGAAAGATTTATTTATTTTCTTTAGTACAAAATATGAAAAGATCATTTACAAGTAGCCAAAAAACTTCAGCTTTAACTGTAATTTGTTTGTTTTTTTAAATTGATCATTTAAACTCAGTTTTTATCTGTTTGAATTTCAAAGCTTTTGTTACTGTTGGATTAAAAAAAAACATCCACAAAACATTTAAATAAATGTGTTTCTTGTAGAGTTACGTAACTAACTCCATACATTTTGTAAAGTGAAGCAACCCTTTCAGACCTATTGAACTGTAGGACGGATAGAGTTCACATGTTCCTTGACCTTGTCATATGGTGTGGCAGAGGCGTAGCGACCATTCCCAGCGCCCGGGGACAAACTTTCAATTTGGCGCCCCCCCCTCGGGAGCAAATTTTCAAATTGTACCCCCCCCCCCTTCAAACTTTCTATTTGCACCGCCACCCACCCACCCACCCACCCCCACCCCTCTCCCAAACTGTTTATAATGTAAAAATGCAGCTAAAATGACATTTCAATTCGTTTTTACAACCCATTTTGGTGCCCCCTAAGGTCGGCGCCCGGGAACATATGTACCACCCTGCCCCCCCCCCCCCCCCCCCCCCCCATCGCTACGCCTCTGTGGTGTGGTCAGCTCAATGCTTACCTGTCTTTACTTTCCCTAACAAGTCAGGTACCCATCAGACCTAGGTGGACTCAGGGACCTACTACAGTAGCATGTCCAAACCAGGGCCCAAACTCAAGGCATTTCGGCTAGCAGTCAAAATTTAAATGACTTTATCATTCTTTTGTTACCCAAACATCAATAAATGATTTTCACTTGTTTTTCCTGTAGTTTGTGATTACAAAAAAAATATAGAATATAGAACAAGATTTTATAAACCACTATTTTTTTTTAATTGAAAGGATAATTATGTATTATTTTCTATTCAACAATACTAGTCTTTGTATGCAATTTTTCGTTTCAATTCTTTACAGAACACTCATTTTATGAAGTTAATTTATTTAATGACACATCAAAGAAAATGTATAGAGAATGTAGCTGAAATGCTACTCAAATTATCGTGTTCACAGACATACTGACAAATTTGCATCTAAGTTTCTCCAACTCAAGGGGTGGGTGTGTAAACGTTGCGATTTGTGAAGATTTCGATTTTTTGTATGATTACAATACTTCCTATACACTTCGAATACGAGAAAGTAAAAAAGGAAACATTGATTTTTTTTTTGTTAAAGTTAAATAATGGACACCAGCGAGAAAAGTCTCAAAGGTATTTGAGAGGTCCATAAATTAATTTAAAAATCTTGCACGGCGTAATTACAATTAATATGGTTATAAAATCCTGTCTGTCTGGGTTTTTTTTTAGGACTTTACTAACGATTGGATGTATTTGATGTTTTGAATATTTTCGGTAACTAAATAAAAAATTTAAAAAAAAAGCAAAAACAATTTGGTTTTCACGTGTAATGGCGACATAAACAATGGCATCCTGCTATTCGATAGGCCGCCATAAATTTTATTGTACACATTGTAAGCTAAAAATAGAAAAACTGGGTCATGGTGTTTAAATTTGCATTGTTATTTAAAAACTTAATCTGCAAAGTTTTGTAAACAAATCAACTATAAAGTGGGGGTGTCAGAAATCGATCACGGAATTCCTTTACAGCCAATCAATGTTTGTCTTACGAAAGTGAAACATCGGGTTATAACTTAGGCTTGATGAAAATAAATAGAAATGTAGCCTTAAACTCAACAAATTATTTTCAAGTTCTCTAGATCTACAACTTGATTCTAAAAATATTAAATTTCTGAATTAATTTTGGGCTTAAGTTTTTAATAAAATTTTATCTTTTATTATTTTTATGGTCCTAAATCTAAATAAACCGGGAGTGATCTCCCCTAAACTTTCTCGAATATTCTTATATAAAACAACAGGGGAT